ACAGGGATGGGGGCATGGGATACAGGGGCGACACGGGGGCACCGGCAGACATGGGACATGGGTACAGGAGGCATGGGACATGGGGGGACATGGGACAGAGGCCCAGGGGGACATGGGACACGGGACATGGGGACACAGAGGGACATGGGGACAGGGGGCATAGGGGACACAGGAGGACATAGGACATGGGGGGGACATGGGCAGACATGGGACACAGGATATGGGGACACACAGGGACAGGGGGCACGGGGACATGGGGACAGAGGGACAGGGGGCATGGGGGGACACAGGGGCACAGAGACACAGACACACACATGGGGTCTTAGGTACACACACATGCACACGCACATACGTGCATGCACACCTGAACACACGTGCACGCACACGCACTGACACAAGGGCACACACGTGTGCACACACACGCAGCTCAGGCCCTGCTTCCCCACCCACACGGGGGTCCCGGGGGGGTACTGCAGGCCTCTGGGGTGGAGGAAGGCTGCTGCTGGAAGGGCGTGGGGGGAGGCAGCCCCCCGCGGCACAGCTGGCCCCTGCCCAAGGGGCTGCAGCTCGAGGGGGTCCCTGAGCCCTCAGCGAGGCGTCTGCGGTGCAAACGCATCCGCAGGGGGTTGGCCGGAGCAACACAGGGGGGCACGATGCCAAAGGGGCAACCCCCCCCCGAGGGTCTCCTGGGGTGCCCATCGCTCCCGCTCCTGCGGTGCCCGCTCCCAGAAGCTCCTGGTTAGGCGTTGCCTCTTGGCTCCTCCTCACCAGACATGCCAGACGGGATCTGGCCCATCAGCTGGGCGGCGAAGCTTCCGGAGGGGTACAGGCAAACGCTGGCCCCCAGCTCACATTTGGGGTGCACCTGCACCACGGCAAGGGTTTTTCTGCCTGTGATGCTGCAATCTGCCTCTTACAGACTCTGCTTTATCACGGTCCGGCTGTAAAACCGGGGGGAACAGTAGCACCAGGCCTGAAGGCAGCTGCCCCCACAGGCATGCCTAATTTTAGAAGGGTGTGGAGCACGGTTTCTAAGTGTCCCTGTTGCTGGATCCAGACCATGGCACAGTGATGTGCTCTGACTTCCCTGTGCTGGATGCTCGGGACCAACAGCGGCAGCAGGTGGCAGGTGAGTTTAAATGTGCACCTCTCCCCTGAAAGTTGATGATGTGGCCGGTGATGCATCTCCACGGCTTTTCTGGGATGAGGGATGCAAGTCAACCTAATTATATAAACGGGAGAAAAATCAATGCCTGGCAATGCCGGTCCTATTTCTGGCCAGAACATGTCAAAACTCATCTTCAAAACACATCTTGAGTCATAACTGCATCCGATTCACAGGAGGAACCATGCTTCCCGGCCTCGTCGGGTGCAGGGATGAACACCCCTCATTGCAGGATCTTCATCACATACAGAACTCGATGCAGAAATCAAGCATTTTGAGATGAGGAGGAGGGGACGGCACGTATGTGACACAGCCTGGAGGTCCTCTTTGCTTGCAGGGTGGGATGGGGATCCCATGAAAAAGCTTAACATGGGGTCATGAATTAAAACCTGTGTTAAAAGCAGTGCTTGTGTGAGCTGGCTGATTAAGACCGCAGAGATAATTATAACACCAGACTGTCGGTCTCTGCACTGGTTCGTGTTTTGTGATGCTCCAACCTGAGACAGTCAGTATTTCATTGTCCGGTAGGATGGGGAGAGGCAGCTGAGTGACCCAGGGGAGCCACGATGGGATGGTGGGCAGGGATGGCATCTCTGGAGGGTTCAGCAATGTTGTGCTGCAGGTTTTGCAGCTCCAGGAACGTGGGGGTATAGATTTTAAGAAGTTTATAGCCCTGTCCAGCTGCACAAAGCTTTTCAGAGGTCAGCAGGAGCCTCAGCACATCTCTGCCAGAAGATTTGTCCTTTGCCTAATGCCAGGCTCCAGAGCTCTGACGTACCTTCAGGACAAGATCTCCAGGTGTTTTTAATGGCCGAAAACATATTTTCCCTGACTTTGCTCTGGGAAACAGCTGGACCTTTCTGGCCAGATTTGAAAATATTAATAATAATAATAAAAACAGCTCGCTAGTGTTTCAGAGAAAGTAGGTAAACCTTGGCAAACTTCCCCGTAACTGCAAACAGGGCTTTTTGCTGTGGGAAGCGCCAGGCAGCATCAGAAACCAGCAGGCAGCCCCGGTTCCCGCGGCCAGGCAGCCGAGGCGTCAGCTGGAGGAGCTGGCAGCACACCGGCTGGCTTTCCTGCCAGAAATCAGCCTGGCAAGCCGGTTCGGTAGCCTGCCTGTGTCCCGCTGGAAAGCGCTGAGGAAGATGTCACCGGTGATGAAACTGCTGACAACCTGGCGTACTCCACCGGGAAAATGATCCTTCAGAAAAATTTTAGCCAACTTGACGTTTGAGCGCCTATGCCCAAATAGCAGCACCCTGTGGAATGCAAATCTCCCTTTTAACACAGGATTTTACCCTGGTCCCATGCAGAATTTACTGGGAGAGATGACGTCTCAGCTGTGTTAACGGTGCAGCTCTAGCCATCTCGCTCTGTGAAAAAGCCATACACACATGCCGGTATCACGGCACCACTTTAAACCTATGACTCCAATGCCTTTGCATATGCTGTCATAAATTCTAGTTTATGCAAGGGCTGACTGCTTTGCTTATGCATTTCTGCATCTCCTCCGGGTCCTAGGAGATGATGTTCATCTTCGCTCTGCAGTCCTGGCAGGAAGAGGCCAGTAAGCTGGACTCTGGACGTGGCAGACTTCCCCAAGGACAGCTGATTATCCTCTTGCTTTGCTAAGACAGGTTTAGCAGGAGTGGGTGTCGAGCTTGCCTTTTCTCTCCAGTGCCGAGTGCCCTGGGAGAGCGGCCATTTTGAACACAACCTCCTTGTTTTCCAAAGATCCTGCGAAAGTCTTGCCTGGACTGCATTTGGTCAGGACCCAAAGTATAAAATGATAGTCTTGTTGGGTTTTCTCGTCATTCAGTCTCAGGCACCTGGAAAGCTCACTGGCTTTTGCAGCGCACAGTTGACTCCACGTGCTTATCTTTCCTTAGGTTTCCTCAAAGCCTCAAAGCCCAGCACTCATATCAGCTTTAGCCCTGTGAATCGAGGACCCTCTGGGTCCTCTTCCTTTCCTAGCACCCAAAGGAAAAGAAAATCATCTATGTACTTCCATCAGGGAGAGCAGCCTGAGGCTTATCTCCTCTGTTTACCAAGTGCTGCTTTTCCCATTAATAGCAATACCAGGAAGTGCAAAATCTGCACGCCGTTTGAAGGCTCCAACCTCACCTTGGTTTTGACTTGGAAGTGCACGCCTACACAAAAGGAAGGACAGTGGTGGCCCTGTGACCTGACGGCCGGAAAGGCTCCTCGGCAGCCAGCATGAAACAGCCTGGAGCCAAGTCTAATTTCCAGCCGAGCCTAAGCTGATGTTTGGAGGCCAGCCAGGAGCAGCGCCACAGTAAGACCGAGCAACCCGTGTCCCGAGCTCTGTTCTGTCACATCATGGGCTGGTGGCTGGTGCTGAGACCTGGCTGCAGCCAGCTGGCGTGGGCTTGGGGAAGGGCTGGAGTTGGCAGCTCCCATGGGACTCGCCAGGCACCGGGAGGTGAGGGCGTGAGGTGGGTTGCAAACTGGCCGAGAGGGTGGTGATTAGTGGCACAAAGTCTAGTTGGAGGCCAGTCACTAGCAGTGTACCCCAGGGGTCAATACTGGGTCCAGTCCCGTTGGGAAGCAGCTTTTCTGAAAAGGACCTGGGGGTCCTGGTGGACACCAAGCTGAACATGAGCCAGCAACGTGCCCTTGCTGCAAAGAAGGTGAATGGTCTCCTGGGCTCTGCATTAGGTAAAGCATTGCCAATCCAATCATCTTCATTAATGATCTGGATGACGGGGCAGGGCGCACCCTCAGCAGGTTTGCAGACACCCAACTGGGAGGAGCGGCTGATACTCCAGAGGGTCGTGCTGCCGTCCAGAGGGACCTGTACAGGCTGGAGAAATGGGCTGGCAGGAACCTCCTGAAGTTCTCCTGGACGAGGAGACGTGCACAGTCCTGCTCCCGGGGAGGAACAACCCCAGGCATCAGTATACACTGGGGCCCACCCAGCTGGGAAGCAGCTTGGCTGAAAAGGACCTGAGGGTCTTGGTGGACACCAAGCTGAACATAAGCCGCAAAGAAGACTAATGGTGCCCTGGGCTGCGTTAGGCAAAATATTGCCAGGAGGTGGAGGAAGGGGATGCTTCCCTTCTGCTCAGCAACAGTGGGGCCACCCCCGGGGTGCTGTGTCCAGTGCTGGGCTCCTCAGTACAAGAGAGACAGGGACTTATTGGGGACGCCCCAGCGAAGGGCCACGAAGATGAATGAGGGACTGGAGGGAGGGTGCAAAGAAGAGGGAGCCAGGCTCTTGGTGGTGCCCAGAGCCAGGAGCAGAGGCAATGGGCACAAACTGAAACCCAGGAGGTTCCCTCTGAACATCAGGAGACACTTTTTCACTGTGAGGGTGACCGAGCACTGGCACAGGTTGCACAGGGAGGCTGTGGAGTCTCCATCCTTGGAGGTATTCGGAAGCTGACCAGACATGGTCCTGGGCAACCAGCTCTGGGGGCCCTGCTGGAGCAGGGGGGTTGGGCCAGATGATCTCCTCATCTCCCCCAGCCTGTGGTTCTGTGAAGTCCCTCCAGAGGAACACGGAGTCTTTCCTCCATCCAAGGCCCCGCCTTGGGGGTGACAAGAGGTGGTGGGGTGACAGGGGGTAATGAGGGACTGTGGTGGGGCTGTGGCAGGTGATGATGGGGGTGATGGTGTAACAGGGGGCTGACCAGGGGTGTGACAGGACTGAGGTAGGGTGACAGGGGCGGCAGAGGTGACAAGGTCTGCAACAGGGTGTGAGGCGGTGACGAGGGTGTCAGGGTGTGATGGGGTGCGACGAAGCCGTGATGGGGACAGGAGGAGGTCGGGTGGGTGACGGGGGATGAGGAGGGTTTGGGTGCCGGGGCCGTGGCGGGTGACATGTGGCGGGCTGAG